CAGGGGCAGGGGTCTGAGGACCATGCTTTCAGGGGACATCTAGGTCAACTGACATAACAAAGTTTATTAAGAAAATATTCTGCATCCCACTTTGGTGAGTGGCATCTGGGATCTTAAAAGCTAGCGAGCTGCCATCTAAGATGCATCAATTGGTCCCAACTGACCTGGAGCAAAGTAGAATGAAGAACACCAAAGATACAAGGAAAATATTATCCCAAGAGATAAAAGGGGCCGCATAAAGCAGAGACTACATCAGCCAGAGACAAGAAGAACTAGATGGTGCCCCGTTACCAAAATGACTGCCTTGACAGGGAACACAACAGAGAGCACGAGAAAACGGGGGTGTAGAACTCAAATTCTAGTAAAAAGACCAGACTTAATGGTCTGGCTGAGACTGGAGGAACCTCAGAAGACATGGCCCCTGGACTCTGTTAATGCAGAACTAAAACCATTCTAAAAGCCACCTCTTCAGACAAAGAATAGACTGGACTATAAGACATAAAATGATACTTGTGAAGAGTGTGCTTCTTAGTTCAAGGAGATACAGGAGACTAAATGGGCAGCTCCTGTCCAGAGGCGAGATGAGAAGGCAGAAGGTGATAGGAGCTGGTTGAATGGACACAAGAAATCCGGGGTGGAAAGGAGGCATGTGTGGTCACATTATAGGGATAGCTGCTAGGGTCACTTAACAATGTGTGTATAAATTTTTGTATGAGAAACTAACTTGAGCTGTAAACTTTCACCTAAAGAACAATTTAAAAAAATGTAGTGAGGGTAAATGGACTAACTGGGTAAAATGAAAGTAAGTTTACCCGCTTTACTTGAAGTAGTGAAATAGCAATACAAGTAGATGTAAGTTACAGATGCATGTTGTATTGCAGAGCACAACCACTAGATAAAACAACTATACAAAGAGATATGATAAAAGGCAATACAAATAAATCAAAATGAACAATTTTTTAAAAATATTCAAGAAACCTACAAGGAAGGCAAGAACATGGAAAAAGGAATGAGAAACAGAGGAACCAAACACGAAACAGACAATGAAAAGCCAGACATAAGCCCTAACACATCAGTAATTAGTTTAAATGCAAATGGTCCAAATATACCAGTTAAAAGACCAAGAATAACTGGGTAAATAAGAACAAGAGCCAACTATATGCTGTCTACAAAAACTCACTTCAAACCTGAAAACACTGATAGGTTCAAGCAAAAGTATGGAAAAAAATACACCAGGCAAATATTATTTAAAGAAAAAAAATCTCCTTTACTGGCTCTTCTTGTTTCACAAACTGAACTGTTGGCATATCCATGACTAAGTGTTCAGACTTCTCTTTCTAGAAACAGTAATTGCCTAGATGAGCTCAGTCAGTCACACACTTTTAATTATCATGTACTTGCTGAAGATGTCTAAATTTGTATCACATTCTATGATCACTCTCCAGCTGTCTATTCCACTTCTCACAGAGCTGTCAGTCTTAGGTAAGG